GCGGTCTAGAAACATACACGAGGCTGAGGGCGGGCGTTGGGCCCTGCCTCCAGGAAACCAAAAGCGGAAATATCAGCCAGAATCCTTCCGTGGGGTTCTGGCACAGAAGGTGAGGCTCTGGCACAGGAGGTGGACTTCATTGCAGCCGTCAGCGGTTTGCTCCAGAGCTTCAGGAGGATGGCTTTGCCTCTCAGGACGACTTGACCTCCCAAGAGCAAGCCCTGGGAGGCTCAGTGCATGCCTCCTCTTCCTGCCTTGGGGCCTGGGAGGATTGGGAGGTGGTGGGAGAGTGAAGTTGAGAGTAGGCTTCAAGTTGCTGCTGGAGTGTACCCAGTATCTATTCGTCTAGAAGAAGGGGGAGAATTCTGTGGGGAACCACCTCGTGCTTCCTCTTTGGCATGGTCCCATGACAGAACAGCGACTGAACCAGTTTCCAAGACTTGATGTCCAGAGCCTGGGTGATCATCAGGCTCTCTAGTTGAGTCTCAGTCATAGGTCATGACAATTTTCTCTCGAAGTTGAGGATCAGGGTTTGTCTCTTTAAAATCGGTTCCAGGCTCCTGGAACAGCCAGTCTCATCAGGGAGCCCTGGAATAGACTCTTGAGCATTTTGTCCCATGTGCTGCTCATTTTCATCGAGCCTGGGTCACTATTGAAGCACTGCCAGTATCTAAAGGGACAGGACCCGGGGCTGCGTCTTCGCGCCACTAACATTTACTGAAATCATTCATCGGAGAGGAAAATAGTCTTTGGGGATCACCAAGTTATCCCCCCTTGATTTTAGAACTGCCAACTTCACCCTGTTTCCCACTCCACCCATCCCCCACCCCACACCACCCCCAGTATCCAAAGGGTATCATGTGATCTTGTTTCTAGGCCCCTAACCCGGACACACTGGGCACAAGTAGCGCCGAGAGACTGTGGCATCGGAGCAGCTCTCACGAGCTCCACGCACGGCAGTGTTTTCTGGAAGCTGAGCCAGGGAGCCAGTGGGTGTACGGCTGTCTCGTTTTGCTAGTGCACAAAAGCAGCCCCCGGGGATGCTTTTAAAACCCAGGCATCTCTCTTCTCACAGTTCTGAGGTTCACATCAGGGTACTGGCCATGTCCACTCCTTCCTTGTCTGCAGCCCGGGCCGCCCTCGATTACCATCCGTCCTCGCGTGGCATCGGTCATCTTCCATGTGGACTTGTCTCTGTGTCTAATCTGCCTTCTTTGCAATGACTTGGATGTGAGTGGATCGAGGGCACACCTAAAGCTGGTATAGCTTTGTTGACGTAACATTTGATGG